TAGCTATGCAGCTTGGGCGGTGTGTGGGCAGAACTTGGTGAATCACAACCGTAATCATTCCATCACCGTCTCCATGGTCCTGAGAACGGGGCCGCCAACGATCCCAGACTGCTCCTGGAGCCAACCACTGATAGCGCGCGTCTTTTGAACTGCGGCATTCACCTTAACATCAGCCAGTTGAGGACAGTTGGCACAGGACAGTTGTGTTAACAACAGCTAGCTTTGAGCACAGGACTTCGGCACCTTAGTCCTATCAGAGTCTTGCAGCCACCTTTGGCCAAGGGGCATCCGCAACTGGGAACTGATCCGGGTGCTCCTCCATGTAGCACAGAGCCTGCACAAGAGGCAAGGACGCAGGATGCGTGGCACGGAATGCGTGTCACGGAATGCGTGTTGGGATGATGGATGCTTGGAAGTGCCAGCCAGCGTGAACCTGTCTTAGTCGAAGAGCCAATGTCGATCAAAGTTGCGCCAAGTTTGGGCGGTCTACTAGTGTTGCTCTTGGTACGTCAAAATGTCGTAGACCAAAGGCCAAGGGCAAAGGCCAAGGGCAACCAAGATTCCTAGGTCCTAGTCTATCTGGATCAGCTGGCTCCAATGTGTTGCGACGTGCACCAGTGCCATGGTCGTTTCTGGTCGGAACATGCGGGCTGGGCGCCTTTTCGTCAGCCCCTGTCAAGCGGAAAGGGCTGGAATTGATCAGTAATGAGGCACCGATGAAGAAGTCTGCTGGCCTTACTGTCGAACAAGGCAATCTGGTAAGCACCTTTTGCATAGCTATTCTAGATCTGAGATCTGAGATCCGTGCCGAAACCAAGTCCCTGTAGCAGGATTCTTTTTGCGAGACTTGCTGGCAAATTTGCCTCGAGGAATCGTGACATTGAAAAGAAAACTTGTCAAAATCCAGCTGTGGAGCCTTCCGAATGACCAGAGTTCCGCTGCTTGAGTTCCCATACCTTCACGTGGCAGCTCGGCAAATGCTAACACTGCCCAGGACATGTTCTGGTATTGCTCTGTACAGCCCTCCATGGTCAAGAAAACCCGGTGAAGTGCACGCAGGGAGGGGCACGCCAACGCTATCATCGCCAAGGCAGATGGCAATGACAAACTTCCTGTTCTCATTTTCCTCGACGTCATCGGCCAAGACTCCCTCAAAGCGCAGGACCTGCTAGTGTTGCCAGGACTGGATTCAAACCAAAATGGACAGCTGGTTGGTGGCTTCAACTCACCTGGAAAATATTTAGTAGTCAATGGGATGAATGATCTCAAGTGAAGCTTGAATAAAACAAAAAAGTAAATAACACACACACATATATATATACAAATATACATGTTTGTCTGAAGCGCCCTCGAACAAGCAGTTGCAACTTGCATTTGCACATTGCTTCAAGAGCTGAGGAAGCTATCTTCCTTCTCATCCTCTTACTGCAATTTGTGCAAAGTGTCTGGTCATTCAAAGCGGCCTTGTCTGCATCCACCAGAAGCTTCTGAACATCTCTTCGAGGAGGCTTCGGCATGAGACCCCTGCAGCTGGAGAGAGAATCTTCCTGGCAACGGCTCAGTTGGTGCATCTAACATCTAACATGATTCTTCAAGATGTGTTCCATTCATACGTCTTGCCTTCTTGCTTTGTTAGTTCAGTCCTCAGACCCAAAGCCATTGTATGGGGGGAAATCTGAGCTTTGCCTCGGCAGTGAGATTGGTATTCGCACCACATGCATACCATCCAGCACTAGGGATGAGTACAGCAACACAACCGCAAGCCATACAGCCAGCTACCCTTCCGGCAAGAAGCGTGTGTCAACGGTGGGTGGTGGATTTTGGTTCCAACCTCAGGAGTCGCAGCTCGCAAGCACCCCTAGATTGAGACATCGCATGATTTACAAAGAAGACATGGCTCACTGATCTGCATCAAAGGTTCCTGTTCAAGTCCCATAAAGGACCTGTAGAAGTCTCGAGTGAAGTCATCACAGTCATAGAGAACGATCTGGCGCCCCATGACATCAATCGTCTGTCCGCAAATGAGGTCCTCAAACCAAAGCTGCTGTGGCACTGACAATGCCCCAACACAAATCGCATAAGGAGTGTGCATCTCTTCTCTTTCATCGGCTTTGATGGCACCAAAGTCTGCAGTTGTTGGCATGTCCTCAGGCTTGTAGATAAGCGCCGCTGGCTCAAGCATCCCTGGGGTTGCCGAGATATAAGGATTCTTCCGAAGTGGCGAGCGTCTCCAGAATGTAGGATAAGGAGCACACCCTGAATTCCTGCGAAGGCAGGCAATTTTGCCATGTGCACAACCAACATGTAAAAATGCCCATACATTGATACCTATACGGGGAGCAAGGCTCTTTGGCATACCTCATGCTTCAGTCCTCGGCAAATTTTCCAGCATTTCCACAGTATCATCGGCCAAATAATAGTGCAAGGTGTAGTACCTCAGCATCATGCAGCCTGATAGCTTGATCAGCTTGATTAGAGCTTCAAGCGCCAGAGGGGTCGCGAGTTGTACCAAGGCATGTCTGGCATGCCTGGTTACGGTTAGACACTGGAAAGACCTGGTGCACACTGGCCATGCGAAAAAGAAAACAGCAAGCTTGGACAAACGATGCTGAAAGCACGAAACATGCAGATTGTGGAGATTGTTCACAGATATGGATGCTGGTAAATCAATCTGATGGATTACATAGTTTGTGGCGCTAGCAGTACTACTGTGTCCGTGCAGCAAGTGATGTGCCAAGGAGCTTTCTGGAACCATACTTGCCACTTTCATCCCAGAAGGTGTGAAAGCGCAGCACCTTGCGGTCATTCTCCAAATACTGTTGCAGCTTTTCGTTCCTGCAGCAGCCTCCCACTGCTATCTCATTGTACTCCTTAGATCTTGTATGATCAAGCCCAAAAGGAGCGCGGCTGGTCGGGCTGGTGGCCAACTTCCCAGCTGCGTTTCTCCGTGCATGAACTTTACAAAGGCAACAAAGGCAGAGTTTTAAGGCATGTTCTGTTCATTGTGCCACATGCCGGAGCGATGTATGTCCTAAGATCCGGACTTTGGCCTCCTGGAGCACTGCACGCCTGGCTGGCTGTGAGCCCATGTCACTCGCCATGCAAAACTCGCGTGCCTGGCTGAGACCAAGTCTTCCGGGTCAGGAAGATCAGCAGCTCTGAAAGTATCCATCGGGAGCTCCTGAAGTCGAAACTCTCCACTTCTGCGGAATCACCTTCCAACCCAATTCAGATGAACACCCTATGCATCAATATATGTATACAGTATCTGTAATTAATTGTTGTTAGGTTGCAGTTGCATTCACTTTTCTAGCTTGTTGTGCCATCAATTCTACAAGCGAGTAAAACTACATGATCACGATTCACGATCCTGATCTTCCACCATAGTCTCTCCCATAGCTGCCTGGCGTCTCAGCACTTCCAACACAAATGGCATTCCAACCCATCAACCATTTCTAGGACTGTTGGCCTCGTAGAAGTCTCGAGTGTATGCATCTGCGCCGATGAGACGAAATAGTCTGGAATAGATGGCAATAGATTTGCCGACTCTGAGGTCTTCAAAGCCGTAGACACCCCCTAAGCAAGGCATCTCGACCGCATATCACGATGATGGTATAAGGCCTAGAAAGACTCTTTGGACCCCTTTGCTAAGTAAGGAGCCGCCCAGGCTACTTGGCCGCGGGATGCGGTGCCGCTTTACGAAGGTCCCCTGCGTCATACCAGAATTCTCGATCTTGGGCTCCTGAGTGAAGAACAAACGGATCTCAAAACGGTACAACTGCAGTCTGGAACACGGAGTAGGAATCAGACTGTACTAGATCATTTCATGCAGACCTCGTGCTCCCTATGACCCTATGATAGTCTCTAAGATCATGGACAATGCTCACATGTGCTTCAATCTGGCAACAGTCATAAAAGCAGTACCCTTCACATGTTTGCAGGTTGAAGACGGATTAGAAGTTCAGAGTTCAGCTTGTGGATGTGTCGATGGGGCTGGTGTTGCGTGTCAAGACTGGGTACGGTCGTCTGCTCCCTGGAGCCAGGACACAGAAACCATCATTGTCCCATCTTCCTTACTGGTCAGATCTAAGTTTGGCAAATCTCGTTCAAGACAAATCTTGGAGGACAGCACAGCCTGAACGAGACAATTGAAACTCACAATGCTGGGGCTCCAAGTAGAAGAGAATATTGCAACCTCGAATCCTGAAGCTCTCCTCAGGCAAGCTTTACGGACATGCCGGCAACAGTTTCAGCTTCGGGAAACCTTTCTGCAAGACGACACTCGTCTGCAGTGTCCTTCGGGTTCTCGTGAACTGCTTCCTGTGCCCAGTTCTTTCATCTCGGTGCATCTCATGTTTTCTCCCAAAGTCTTTGCCACGAGACATGAGCGCTTTGAGTGCTTGTCAACTTGTGCCCAGTCCTGGAAGTATGCATAGAACCTCGGCTGCGAGGTGATCCACATGAAATCATTGCTCTGCAAAATGTTCTGAAAGAAATGCTGAGCCACAGAAAGCAAGAAAGGTCTTTTGATGGTTCAAGAATGTGTCTAAAGGTCTCAATATAGAAGAAACAACAATACAACACAACCGGAACTGGTTCATCCAAGCCGCCGGAGTACTTGGCGGTCATGTTTCAACCAGGCTGGCTGCAAAGCAGGGCGGTAGGTATTGCGGGCAGAGTCCTCTTCTTTGCGTTTCTCCCTGGACCTGAGGACCTTGGTTCCTCTTCTTAAGGGAGGCCATCGCTATTAGGTTGGAGGCCATCGCTATTAGGTTGGAGGAGGTTGGAGGCCATCGCTTTTAGCTTGGAGCCATCGCTATTAGGCTGGAGGCCATCGCTATTAGGCTAGAGGCCACCGCTATTAGGTTGGAGGCCATGCTTTTAGCTTGGAGCCATCGCTATTGGGCTGGAGGCCATCGCTATTAGGTTGCAGGCCATCGCAATTAGGTTGAAGGCCATCGCTTTTAGCTTGGAGCCATCGCTATTGAGTTGGAGGCAACCACTATTAGGTTGGAGGCCATCGCTAGTAGGTTGAAGGCCATCGCTATTAGGCTTGAGGCCATCGCTATTAGGCTAGAGGCCATCGCTATTAGGCTGGAGGCCATCGCTTTTGGGTTGGAGGCCATGCTTTTGGCTTGGAGCCATCGCTGGCTGGAGGCCATCGCTTTTGGCTTGGCGCCATCGCTATTGGGTTGGAGGCAACCACTATTAGGTTTGAGGCCATCGCTAGTAGGTTGGAGGCCATCGCTACTAGGCTGGAGGCCATCGCTATTAGGCTAGAGGCCATCGCTATTAGGTTGAAGGCCATCGCTATTAGGTTGCAGGCCATCGCTATTGGGTTGGAGGCCAGCGGTATTAGGTTGGAGGCCATCGCTTTTAGCTTGGAGCCATCGCTTTTAGGCTGGAGGCCATCGCTATTAGACTGGAGGCCATCGCTTTTAGGTTGGAGGCCATCGCTTTTAGCTTGGAGCCATCGCTATTAGGCTGGAGGCCATCGCTATTAGGCGGGAGGCCAGCGCTATTAGGTTGGATGCCATCTCTTTTACCTTGGAGCCATCGCTATTAGGTTGGAGGCCATCACTGTTAGGTTGGAGGCCATCGCTATTAGGTTGGAGGCCATCGCTACTAGTATTAGGTTGGGGGCCATCGCTATTAGGTTGAAGGCCATCGCTATTAGGTTGAGGCCATTGCTAGTAGGTTGAAGGCAGTGGCTATTGGGGTTGGAGAACATTGCTATTAGGTTGGGGAACATTGCCGCCTTTGCTCTTAGGTTGAGGCCACTGCTATTGGGTTGGGAGGCCACTGCTATTAGGTTGGGAGGCCACTGCTATTAGGTTGGAGGCAAGTGCCGCCATTGCTCTCAGGTTGGAGGCTACTGCTATTAGGTTGAGAGGCCACTGCTATTATTAGGTTGAAGGCAATGGCTATTAGGTTGGAGAACATTGCTATTAGGTTGGAGGCCATTGCCGCCATTGCTCTTAGGTTGG